TAGCCAGGTTGGTCTCGATCTCCTGACCTCGTGATCCACCCGCCTCGGCCTCCCAAAGTGCTGGGATTACAGGCTTGAGCCACCGCGCCCGGCCAACGTCAAACAATTCTTAAGCTCCAAAAGAGCAAAGCATCTGAGAGTTAGTCTAAGAATTCATGTACTTTTACAACATATGTATAACAGAAAATAAAGACAATGGAAAAAGCTCCCTTCTAATGTAGTGTACTTTTACAACACATATATAACAGAAAATAAAGACAACGGAGAAATGTTCCCTTCTAATGTAGTAATTTAGAGTACCGAAAATGCAATTTTTGCAGCACTTTAACAAGTTAGAATTATGAAAATCTGTTCACTGGAGTATAAGGAAAAACTAAACATGTATCCCAACTTATGACACATCTATAGACTACATCTATCCTGAATCTCTTAATAAGGCCAAATCAACGTTTTAAAATTTTCTCTTAATAAATGATTAAAAATATAAAAATACTTAAAGGAACATAGCATTTAGACTGTGAAACTGTGTTGTAAATGTTATTATAGTTGTCATTTTTTCTTGATGTTGAAGACTGCATCACAGTTTCAAAAATAACATTGCTTGTATTTTATAATATATCTGCATGCAGAGGTACGTTTAACAACATCTGCATGTATCCCCAGAAACTGTTGCTCATTTTAGAACACATATTTTTATTCTGATAATGATTTAATTTTTTACTTAGTACTTCAGTAGAAAATATGTGAATAGATTGTATGTCCCATATCAAAAAAAACCTGAACAACATTCTTTTAAATGTCCATTAAAAAAATATATGTAACAGTTATTGTTTTATCATGATTAAATTGGTATCAAATTAATAGGCATAAGTGAAATAACTAATCATTTACTAGTCATTTAAAAAATGCAATAACATCATGCACTATGTATTACTAAGAAAGTGCTCACTTATACAAGCAGCGGATGAGGAGAAGAGTATCATGAGAATTCTAGATATATCTTTATGTATATCCTTAAAAATCACTTTCCTTTATATAATTTCCATTTTAATTTAAATGCCACATATCTTCAGCTAACATTTAAATTAGTTTTTATTGTAAAACTTCAGTTGTTATACATCATAAAATACCTTCAGAAACTTGCTTGAAGGTAGGAATAATTCTTTCCTTCTATTAAATAATTATATCACATTAAGTATTTATTAAATGTTGTTTGAGAAATGTATTCTGACCTAGAACATATTCAAATTCAAGATCAATATTATAATAGAAGGAAGATTTTATGGGGAAAATGTTGCAATCAGTAAAAGTGTTAATGACCATGTAACAGTAAGGAAGACACCTGTCTGGAATATTGCAGAGTGGTGTACATCACATTTAATTAAAGGAGAGTAATGCTTGATCTTCTATTTCCCACAGAACTCTGGATCCAGTTAAGAGCAGAAGGGAGAAAGCAGCAGCAATATTTCAAATGTCCATACTCTGATCTGCAAAAGACACCGAGTAGGTAGAAGAAAACTGCGTTTTACTTCAGGTAGTCTTTGAAATGAAGGTTCTGTTATTTTTCAAGACTGGAAGGATATCACAGTGTTGATTTTATATACAAAGTAGGATCTGTTCCAGTATACTCTAGTGAAATAATTCACATATGGAGAATAGTTAATTTTGACCTCATGACAAAATCGCCCATACTTTGAGTAGGTTAGCTTGTCACCTTCTTCACAAACCATCTATTAAAAGACATAAAACATAATATTAAAAAGCTTATTAAGCTTATAGCAGAAATGCAATCAATATACAAATGACTATTATTTATATGAAAAAACACATTACTACTAAACATTGTCTATAAAACATCTGTTAGCAAACAGAAGCCTCTTCATAAGCGAGTCACATGCCCACTATACTCCTGAACTTTCCATTGACACTGAGAAACCAGTATGAAGGCTTCCAATTTTTAAAAGATTTAATCCTAAAATTTAGAAGGCAATGTTTCCATAATCCATTATCACTGCTCTAAAGAACCTTATCATGCATCCTACCAAGGCTGGCATTTTCTTTTGTATGTTGAAAAAATACTTCAAACTACTTTTAATAAGCTGTCCCCATTATTACATAACTCAATTATATTCTTAGTTAAGTTCCAAAAATAAAGTTTAAAGATTACGAGTTTAAGTAAAATCATTTTTCTAAAATAAATAAATAAATAACTTTCCAAATGGTTACTTACATGGCCATTTGCAATGTCTAATAAATCTTTAACCCTACAGCCTCTCATGGTTCCCACCTCATTGCAGATAGCATCCTCTACAATTAGGTAATTAGCTTTGTAAGATGTCAGTATTTTATAAATATCCTCAGCAGATCGCTTTGAATAGATTTGGTAGATCTGAAAGAATATAATTACAATAAATTTTAAAGGACATTTAAAACTTCAGTAAATTGAAACCATACATCGAGCATCTACTGTGTTCTCAGTACTGAATATTACATATGAAAAATATATTTATTTTTATAAATAAATATAAATATTCATTTATATATTTATCAAAACTCATGTTTGGATTATGTGGTGCTTTTTACCGTAATTTTGCTGAACTTATTAGATAATAAGCTCTGGATCTTATTAGATAATAAAGCTTCTCAGTCTTTCTGAAATGTTAATATTGGATCAACTCTTGTTATCCTTCAAAAAGTAATAAAATCACAAATATTAGGCCCATAGTATCATATACTATTTGTCCTGAAAATACTGAGATTTGAAATCTAGAATGAATAAGATTCCAATCTATTTGCAGAATATCCAGTAGCTGCCTCCTACCTGTCACCATAGCTGCCTAGCTAGTACCCTCAGTTCCCATGTCAACTGACATGTTAGGAATACCTACTTTCAACATTCTGTGGCACACAGAATGGTAATACATCAAGAGGAAGTGTCTCTCTCATTTCACACTAAATACGTTTCAGTGGGAATAGTTCTATCCTATCCAGCCTATACCTATTGATAGTTATTTACAATTTTATTTATTTTTAAGTGTTAAGAAACTGAAACATACTATTAGGGCATTTATAAAAAAAAAAAAAATTCTATGCAATTGTAGTAACATTACTGACAGCCTAGAGCAGAGTTTCTCAACCTTAGCACTATTCACAATTTTTTTTTTTTGAGACGGAGTCTTGCTCTGTCACCCAGGCTGGAGTGCAGTGGCCCATCTCAGCTCACTGCAAGCTCCGCCTCCCGGGTTCACGCCATTCTCCTGCCTCAGCCTCCCAAGTAGCTGGAACTACAGGCACCCGCCACCATGCCTGGCTAATTTTTTGTATATTTTTAGTAGAGACGGGGTTTCACCATGTTAGCCAGGATGGTCTCGATCTCCTGACCTCATGAGCCGCCCATCTTGGCCTCCCAAAGTGCTGGGATTACAGACTTGAGCCACCGTGCCCGGCCTGCACTGTTCACATTTTAGGCCAGATCATTCTTTGTTGGGACAGGAGAGAGGATGTTCTCTGCAATGTAGATAAGCATTCCTGGTCTCTACTCACAAGATGCCCATAGAACCCCTCTTCCTGTTATGACATTGCGACAATCAAAAATGTCTCCAGACATTGCCAAATGTCCCCTCAGGGAACAATCGTCCCAGGTTAGGAATCACTGGCCCAGGGGATTATACAAAGATTAGCCACATATTATGAATTAGAGACTCTGTCTAATTTAACTGATATGGTCAGCCAGGTGCAGTTTCTCACACCTGTAATCCCAGCACTTTGGGAGACCCAGGCAGGCAGATCAATTGAGGTCAGGAGTTTGAGGCCAGCCTGGCCAACACGGCAAAACCCCATCTCTACTAAAAATACGAAAATTAGCTGGGCACGGTGGCATGAACCAGTAGTCCCAGCTACTTGGGAGTCTGAGGCAGAAGAATCGCTTAAACCTGGGAGATGGAGGTTGCAGTGAGCCAAGATCACGTCACTGCACTCCAGCCTTTATGAAATTCTCTAAAATTGAAAAACAGAATATTGGGAACTCAGGTTCAGTTCATCATTGCTTTCAGATATGAAGTTACCATTTAAATTCATACCATACAAGAGCGAGACTCCATCTCAAAAAAATAAAATAATTAAAAATATAAATAAATAAATAAATGGCCGGGCATGGTGGCTCACGCCTGTAATCCTAGCACTTTGGGAGGCAGAGGTAGGCAGATTGCCTGAGCTCAGGAGTTCAAGACCAGCCTGGGCAACATGGTGAAACCTTGTCTCTACTAAAATATAAAATATTAGCCAGGCGTGGTGGCGTGCGCCTGTAGTCCCAGCTACTCGGGAGGTTGAGGCAGGAGAACTGTTTGAACCTGGGAGGCAGAGGCTGCAGTGAGCCAAGATTGTGCCACTGCACTCCAGCCTGAGCAAGACTCATCTCCAAAAACAAAATTGTAATTAAAAATAAATAAACGACATGGTCTCATTTATGAAGTTCAGTTTGGATTTTAGCTTAACAACAAGTTTACTTAATACCTGCTATGTGCTACACACCGTAGAGAAAGACAAAGGTCTGAAAAACCGTGGTTACTTTTTCTCATAGACAAGTTACATAAAACTTAAAACTCTAAAATGTTTAAATTAAATTAGAACCTAACTAGAACTCTGACCTAATTACAAGTAACTCTGAAATACCATATTAGAAAAGACCAATCAAAAGAAAACAAAGTCACAGAGTTGGTTGTTTTAAATCCACAAAAAATAAAATTCAGGAATATGCCATCTATATTTTGCCTAAGCAACTCTATGTTTTGGAAGTGCAGCAAATACTCTTCAGAGATGGCTGCTGTCTCTCGAGGAATCATTCTCAGGTAGATCTCCCCATCTCTGATCTCTCCCCTGCCTGCTTCAATCTGTTCTTTCTGCCATGACCATAATTAAGTCTTCAAAGCAGATCTAATCATTCCACTGCCAGGTTTACTAAAAGTCATGTCTCTTAACTGCTTCAAGGATAAGTCTAAATTTTTCAGCATGATATTCCAGGTCTGTCAGAATTCAGCCTCATTTTCTTTTCCAGTTTCAAGATTATACAAATTCCTTAGCTCATGTTACTTTTTCAGCCTGGAATCATATATATTTCTTTTCCAAACAAGTTTCTAATCATCCTTCAAAGCCCAGATTGAGGGACTGCCTTTTATGACAACTTCTTAGATTTTTGTAGGCAGAATTGTTTGACTGTTCCTGCTTTTTTACTCCTCTTTGTACCTTGTGTGTGTCCATGTGTACGTGTATGCATGCAACGACCACTTAATAGTACAAAGTAATAACATAATAGCTAACTTTAAAATTTTACTGTGTTTCAGGCATTGTACATTATCTCATTTAATTCTCACAAGTAGGAGGTGAGAACTATTATTCTCACCTAATCTCCAGATTTAGTAACTCACTCAAGGTCACAAAGCTGATAAACAGCAGAGCTAGCATTTGGGTTCAGGTACTCTGATTCCTGAGTCTGCATTCTTAATCTCTATATTACTGTATGTCTTCCTTAACTTAGAATATGCTTAAAAACTGTATGAAATTATCTAAAATTGAAAAACAGAATATTGGGAACTCAGGTTCAGTTCATCATTGCTTTCAGATATGAAGTTACCATTTAAATCTATATCAAACATTCAAAATAATATATTATCTAAACTATAATTAGATACCATTCTAATGTTATACTGAGTCAATAACTGCCCATTTATTAAAAAATAAATTAGTGTTTTATAAGCAATAATAGAACTTTAGCTGAGAAAGACAAAGTGTAGTACCAAGACATTAATTGACAGTCTTCTTTTAAAAATTGGATTGAGGGCTGGGCACAGTGACTCACGCCTGTAATCCCAGCATTTTGGGAAGCCAAGGCAGGCGGATCACCTGAGGTCAGGAGTTCGCCACCAGCCTGACCAATATGGTGAAAACCTGTCTCTACTAAAAAATACAAAAATTAACTGGTCATGGTGGCAGGTGCCTGTAATCCCAGCTACTCGGGAGACTGAGGCAGGAGAATCACTTGAATCGGGAGGCAGAGGTTGCAGTGAGCCGAGATCACACCATTGCACTCCAGCCTGGGTGACAGAGCAAGACTCTGTCTCAAAAAAAATAAAAAATAAAAAATAAAATAAAAATTTGATTGAGAACAATATTTTAAAAAGAATGTTAGCCAGCTGTGGTGGCGCGTGCCTGTAATCCCAGCTACTCAGGAGGCAGAGGCAGGAGAATCACTTGAACCCAGGAAGCGGAGGTTGCAGTGAGCCGAGATTGTGCCACTGTACTTCAGCCTGGGTGAATTAAAAAAATGTTAGCCGGCTGTGGTGGTGGGTGCCTATAATCCTAGCTACTCAAGAGGCTGAGGCAGGAGAATCGCTTGAACCCAGGAAGGGGAGGTTGCAGTGAGCTGAGATTGCACAACTGTATTCCAGCCTGGGTAAAATATTACACATTAGGTCCCTTGACACTTTGTGGAACATTAGATATTTTTCTTAGAAACATATCAATATTATTCACAAAACAAAGAACTTAATATTTTAATTTTGGGTCTCCTCTTGGTTAAATGTATTACTAATTACACGGGTTTTCCGAAATAGAAGTTAATTAACTCTTTTAAAATTGTTTGGACTTTCCTAGCTACCTAGAAGCATACGTATACTGCAGACTATGCTAAAATACAAAGTGCTGGAAAAGAGATCCAAATGTAGAATTCAAAATGCCTTACATTTTCATTTCTCTTGAGAAGATCATCATCATTGTAAAGAGGCAAACTTGTCACCATCCATCCAGTGCATAATTTAATCGCACCCATTAACTGTGGACTCCCTGCAAACACAGCTGCAACTGGAGCTTGCCTTCTGCAAAGAACCATAAAGATTTGGACACTGAAAAGGCAAGTATACTATTTAGATCACTGATCTATATCAACTCTGAAACACCAGACAACTTACAATGTTTATACATTTAAATTTCAATGTCAGTTTTCATTTCATTTATGGATTCATTAAAAAAAAAACGGGCACCTAACTATGCACCAGACACTTGTGCTGAAGATACAGAAACTTTTCTAAAAAGAGGGAGCAGGGGGAAGACAATAAGAAGTAAACATATATATTGGGTGGTGATAATATGATTAAAAATAATGCAGAGTAAGGAGATAGTAACCAGAATATATTATTTTAGATAAGGTGACTAGTTCAGTGGTGATACTGTGAATTCTCAACTCCATCTTTTGCAAATTAACTACCTACAACCCAACTTCTTCCAAATCCACCTCTCCTTCTGCTCCTTCTCTGTCTTTACCCATGTGTCTGTCTCCAGGTGGAAAATATAGGACTTCTCCACTCTGAATCATTATCCCAAGTCCCAGACAGATGCTAGTTGCAAGGTGGAAAATCTACAAGCAGATCCCAAAGGGCTGTTCTAATACATTCACTTATTTATTCACTGTCTGAATTTAACATTAAGCACCCACCTCTATGTGCTAGGGATGGTGCCAGGCTATCGAAAGAAAGAGATGGCATATATGGCCACAGTCCTCAATAGTGAGGAAGCAGATATAAAACACAGTAATTGTACCCAGTAACATAAATGTTCAATAGGTAATTGTTTGGGCCTTTGCTGTCTTTGAAAATACTGTGGTAAATCATACAGAGATGTAACTTTCTCTTTTGTTAATGACAACACAAGGCAGTATTCAACAATAGCAAATAGAATTCACAAAAAGTATTAATGGGCAATAGTTAAGGATGATCTAAAGAAAACTATTTTTATAAAATAGAAGATATGTTATAGTAACAAGACATTATAATAAAACCTATTCTTGTTTCTGTATACCTATTCTATAAATCAATTTAAAATTTCTAGAAACACTTTTTGTCTTTTTTCCCATATTTTTCTGGTCTTTTTTGATAGTATTTCATCACTTTTTCATGTCTTATCTTCTTTTACGTCTTTAATAAATTTCAATGTAGTTATTTCGTAGTCTCCATCCATGGAATAGACTGGTTACAAAAATGGCCACAATAATTCCTCTCCCTATGGTCATGGTCTTGGAGGGAACGCCAGTCATAATCATGTGACTTGCTTTGGCCAATAGGACAATAGTAAGCACCGTGTAAGCAGTGACTTAAAACATGCTTGACATTGAGAATTGCCCTCTCTTGCTGCTCTTGGGAATTCTACAACTACCACCTTGTAAACAAGCCCAAGCTAACCTGCTAGATGATGAGAGACAGAGGGCCAAGTCAGTTTGATCCCCTCAGCTGACACAGAGCCAACCCTAGACTTGTGACAGAGACCCTGCCAGACTATCCAGTCCCAGTAGAGCTGGCCCAGACCAAAAGAATCCTCCCCAGCACCCTAACCCTGCTAATTCTCAAGATGGTGTGGAATAACACGTTTATTGTTTGTAAGCCACTAAGTTTTGTGGCATTCTGTTATGCAGCAAACCCTAAATGATGACACAAATTTTATTATCAGAAATAGCTAGAGGTCTAATTCTGCTGTTTATGACAAGCTTCGTTGAACTGCTTATGTGTTTTATAATTTTAGAGCTTACCTTCATGAAACTTTCTTATGGAATCCTGTATAACATGGGTTGAAGATGTGTCATGCATTCCAGACCAACCCCAAACCACTTTTAATACTAATTTCTTAATTTGGGGTTTCTTAGATTAGACAAGCATAATTTCAAATTACACTAGACAAGTATAATTTCAAACTATAAACCCACATGAATTCAGATCCATTGCTACAAATTGAGAGGGGAGAATTTTTCTGACCAAGAGATGAATGCGAGAGAGACATGCTTTCTTATCTTCCTTCTCTACTGTCTGGTATCTTGCTATTCCATCCTTCCACTGACTAGGTATTTGCTCTTCTATCCTTTCATTGTCAGTGTAGCCTTCTGAGGGTCCCTGAGTTACATATGTGTGTGTTGGGGGGTTCTCAATTCCAATTCCCTGCTTCCACAGGCCTAAGACCACATCTCCTGTCCTGTGTGGGCATTAAAATCTAAAACCCCTGGTTATCAAAGCTAGTTATCCACTGACAATTCACCTCCAACACAGGCCAGAATAAGCATCCCCTTGACTCTCTAAATAAAAGGATAGCTCTTCTTTTTTATCCCAAACACTTAGTTTGACAATGGCACTTTCAAATCTCATACCGACCAAGGCTATATTTTCAAGCCCATGGAGATGAGCAGAAAATTAGAATCACTAAGTCCAACAAAACCTAAATATCCCTAAAACTCCTGAGTTTGATGAAAAAATTTGGAGAAGTATTAATTTATTATTTTCTGTGAATTCATTAGATAGCATGCAGTGATTAATTAATAGCTTAATAATAGTCTTGGGCACTTCAATCCTTACTTTATCCAGGTCATAAGTTCCACTGTATCTGGGTCATAGAATTCCTGTAGTTCCATTAATTCTGTCATTAATCTTGGAAAAAACTAAAATGCAAAAAAAAAAAAAAAAAGCCCCAAAAGGTATATGTCAGTAATTAGAAAGTTTAAAACAGTTCCACAGTATTTCAAAAGACTAACAGACTAACTTAAGGCAAATGATATTACAACACCTTTCGCATGGAAAAAATGTCATGATGGATCTCTTTGCTTTCCTTCAATGGCCTGCTTATTTTTCTCAATCCAAATAATCTATTTTATGGTTAGTTCACTGCTTTGACTCAACAAATAATTTTGTCATTACCAAACAATAATAAATTGATCATCAGTTGTATCTTTCAGGCACACACAATATAATTAAATAAATAAATTTTCAGTTCCAATAATTTGCAGAATTTATATCATTTCATAGATGATAAAGTTTTGGAGTTAACAAAATGTGTTTTAATATTAATTCCTATTTACTCAGCAATTTCCTTTGCCAATTATAAACTGAATTAACACTAGCATTAGACTGCAGAAAACAGCATCAGGTGGCATTCTAGAAATGTTTTAGCTCTTCTACAATGTTCCTAATAACAAAAAAAATTAAGCATTACTAAGAATATTACATTTTATTTTGTTAGGATAGTGTCTCAACATGTTTCCTACCCACACATACAAATTTATCACTACCCTTGTAGATAAAGTACATTTTATTAATATAAAAATCTAATTTTTTTACCTCTTTCCATAAGCTGAGACCTATTATAGTAGGCACAGCCATGCTCAGAATAAGAGCCTAAAATATGAAAGCAAAAAGGATTACAGATAAATACATTTCAGAATACATGTTAGAGGTAATAGACACTACTCTATGATCAATCATATATCTCTATAGTTATACAAAATTTCAAAAAAAATGAAGTCAACATAGAACCTAGTTCACAGAATGAGACGGGTGAAAACTAATGACTTTCAAAGATATTAACTTGGAAGTAAAGTGAGACATAAACATTTACTATAAAAATTTAACGCAGAACATTAAAAAGGTAATGCTCATAATTTCAAATGGCAAGTCGATATTTGAAAAATTTGCCAGAAATCTATGTTATACAGATCTTACAAAGGATAGTACACTACTACATGAAAAGCTATCAACAAAAAAGACAATGAATTAACACAAAAAAAATAGCTAATATACATCAGTACACTAGTCTGTTAAAATAAGAATGCATAAACTCTCCTCGAAATAAGACTGGTAAAATACGACACGAATATCATTAAAGATAATGTATCATCGTCCTGCTCTAATAAAACCTGTTCTGCCTACTGTCCCATGTCTTTTAGTGACCCTATGATCCACCAGAAACCTAGGAAACATCTAAGATATCTCCCTGTTCCTCATTTCCCCATACTTAATACGCAGTGAGGCTTACTGATCTTCTAACTACTTTTTTCATTCCAATCTGGCATACTGTTAATCGAATGAGCTTTGGAGTCAGAAAAACCTGGGTGTGGCTGGGTGCGGTAGCTCACTCCTATAATTCCAGAACTTAGGGGGCCAAGGTGGGAGGATTGCTTGAGTCTAGGAGTTTGAGACCAGCCTGAGCAACACAGAGAGACCCTGTCTCTAAAAAAAAAAAAATGTTTTAATTAGCTGGTCATGGTGGAGCGTGCCTGAAGTCCCAGCTACTCAGGAGGATGAGGAAGGAGGATTGCTTAAGCCCAGGAGTTTAAGGCTACAGTGAACCACGACTGTGCCACTGCACTCCAGCCTGGGAGAGTCAGACTCTGTCTCAAAAAAAAAAAAAAAAGAAAAGAAAATCCTGGGCGTGAATCATGATTTCCATACTTACAAGCTTGGCAATCTCAAGCAAGTTATTTAACCAATTAAAGCCTTGTTTTTATCTATAAAACAGAGAAAATCTAAGACTGAATAGCATGTGAAATGCTTCAAACAGTACCTGACATAATGAGCATTCAATAAATTGAAGCTTCAATTACTTCTATCCACTCTGCCTCCTCTGTGACTGAAGTTTGTTGCCTGTGGACTATCCTTCACAGAATTGTCAGAGTGAGCAAATAGAAAATACAAGTCTGACTCTCTCGCTTTCCATGAGGCATACATATCCCAATTCCTTCCCACTGCCGACGGCATGAGAGCCAGCTCCGCAGCATGACACTCAGGGACCCCATGGCCTCACCTTCCTCCATTTCTCCAGTCTCATTTCTTGACCACCCCTACCTACCTCACACTTTGTGTGCCAAGAAAACGAAATATATTGTGCCTTTTTCCCAGTCCCTTTGATTACATCATGTTCTTTGCCTACCTCTGTGTCTATTCCTTCTACCATGAATACCCTCTCTTTCCCCTTCATTTGCCTAATAACTAAATATCTTTCTAATCTCAGATTGGAAAGCCTTATTTGAGTGCCTAAAAAAAAAGAAAAACAGAATTAAGTAGCCCTTCCCTATGTTCTAAAAGAACCCTATGAAAAGTTCTTTTTGTTTTTTAGGAGGCAGGACAGGGAGAGAAGGAAGAGCTGGCAGGTTGGAGAAAGTGGAAGCGGAGGGAGCAGGGGACAGAGGGTCGAATTCTTATTATCTGTTTTTACGCCCAGAGATTATAATCCACTTGATGAAATTAACTATGCTATAATTATCTTTGTATCCCAAGCACACAGCAGGCAGAATGGAATGTTCCATTCATATAGAAAATATACCATAGTTCTAAATCAAACCAAGAAAGATATTATAAAAATTAATTCTTGGTGGCCTCTCATATTACTGATTCACTCACATTTTTACCTTTTATTTTTAAAGTTGTATGCATTAAAATGCATTACTTTGATAATCAGAATTTTTTTTTTAATTTTTATTTTTTGAGACAAAGTCTTGCTCTGTTGCCAGGCTGCAGTGCAGTGGTGTGATTTTGGCTTACTGCAACCTCTGCCTCCTGGGTTCAAGCAATTCTCAATTCTCAGCCTCTCGAGTAGCTGGGACTACAGGCATGTGCCACCATGCCCAGCTAGTTTTTTTTGTATTTTAAGTAGAGACAGGGTTTTACCATGTTGGCCAGGCTGGTCTCGAACTCCTGGCCTCAAGTGATCCACCCATCTCAGCCTCCCAAAGTGCTGGGATTACATGCGTGAGCCACCGTGCCCAGCCCAGAAATTATTTTAAAAAATGTTTTGCACAGGATCTGTTTTTCTACCTGTAAGTCATCATGTAATTTACTCATGCTATTTCAATTGTATTCAATGTAGTTTCCACTTATTAGCTTTGATTTTATATAATCAGAAGAGAAACAAATACTTAACACGAAATAATGACTCACCAACAATATTGGGTGTACAGTTCTTAATCGAAGCCACTTGAAAAGTGTCATCCAAAGTTCAGGAGAACATACGCCAAATGCTGCTAACATGCACACATAAGGAATCCAGATGTACTTCAAGCTGGAAAACACAAATGGAGTCATACATGAGACATCCTGTGAACACCATTATTATCTAATTTCTCTCCTCTGAGCTCTTTCCTGCTACTCACAAAAATACCAAAATGTTAAGGGACAGTGAAAAAGCTTAGCCTCTAATTTTCAGCAACAGATTGTTATCTAGTTTTTTAAAAATCAAGCAGACATGTGGTCTAGCAAATTAGGATAAAATAAAAGCATTAATACTGATGAGGATGCAGGAAAATTGTATTCTTGGAGAGAATATAAACTATTAGAGTTTTTTCAGAAGGCAGTTTGGTGAACTGGGAGTGGTGGCTCATGCCTGTAATCCCAGCACTTTGGGAGGCTGAGGTGGGTGGATCACTTGAGGCCAGGAGTTTGGGACCAGCCTGGGCAACACAGTGAAACCCCGTCTCTACCAAAACTACAAAAATTAGCCAGGCGTGGTGACATATGCCTGTGGTCCCAGCTACTTGGGAGGCTGAGGCAGGAGGATCACCTAAGCCTGGAAGGCAGAGGTTGCAGTGAGCCAAAATTGCACCACTGTACTCCAGCCTGGGTGAAGAGCAAGACTCTGTCTTAAAAAAAAAAAAAAAAAACAAAACCCTCTAAGATAGGCAATGCTATTTCTAGTAATGTAGCCTGAAAATATATTAGCATAAGAGTATAAAGATAGACATACAAGGGTTTTTGTTTTTGTTTTTTTTTTGAAGCAGAGTCTCACTTTCGCCCAGGCTAGAGTACAGCGGGTGTGATCTTGGCTCACTGCAACCCCCGCCTTCTGGGTTCAAGCGATTCTCCTGCCTCAGCCTCCCAAGTACCTGGAATTACAGGCACATGCCACCATGCCCAGCTAATTTCTGTATTTTTAGTAGAGACCAGGTTTCACCATGTTGGCCAGGCTGGTCTCAAATCCTGACCTCAAGTGATCCACCTGCCTTGGCCTCCCAAAGTGCTCAGATTACAGGCGTGAGCCACTGCGCCTGGCCACACACAAGAGTTTTAACTACAGCATTTTGTTTTACTAGCAAGAAAATTGGAAAAAAACAAAAACAAAAACAAACTTCTGTTCTTCAATAGGTATTGACTAAATAAATTATTGTAAGAAACAAAAAAGCAAAATGCAAAACTTCATGCGCAATGTTAACCTAATTTTTGCTTTCTATTTTTTTTAATGTAGATATATGGCACAAGCAAAAATAACACCTGGGGCTGGGCGCAGTGGCTCACACCTGTAATCCCAGGACTTTGGGAGGCTGAGATGGCCAGATCACTTGAGGTCAGCAGTGTAAGACCAGCCTGGCCAACATGGTGAAATCCCATCTCTAGTAAAAATACAAAAATTTGGCCATGTGTGGTGGCTCTTGCCTGTAATCCCAGCAAACTGGGAGGATGAAGCAGTGGATCACCTGAGGTCAGGAGTTTGAGACCAGCCTGGGCAACATAGGGAAACCCTGTCTCTACTAAAAATACAAAAAATTAGCCGGGCGTAGTGGCAGGTGCCTGTAGTCCCAGCTACTAAGGAGGCTGAGGCAGGAGAATGGCGTGAACCCAGGAGACAGAACTTGCAGTGAGCCGAGATCATGCCACTGCACTCCAGCCTGGATGACAGAGCGAGACTCCGTCTCAAAAAAAAAAAAAAGTTAAAAATTTAGCTCTTAAATTAAAAAGATTAAAAATCAAGGTGTACAGAAAAAAATTAACTTGTATCATTAGAAGAAAATACATTACTTTATGTTGTAGATGTTAAAGAAAACAAAAGGAGCCCATCTCCGTAGGAGATGCCAACTGCTAAAAATGGAAGAGGAAAAGTTTAGAAAAATTAATAGATATCAGTGCTTAGTACAGATTATCAAGAAAAAAATAACATTTCAAGGGACAACTTTTGTAATAAATACTAAGGAGAACAATCAGACCCTTCTATGATATATTCCCTGGTGTCAAACTCAGAAGAGACTGGAAGAATCTGGGCCTAGAGTATAAATGTTAACCACTGCAGTTTTATAAAACAGCAAAGCCATGGAATGGAGAAAATAAAGAAATATCCAGGCTGGGTACAGTGGCACACGCCTGTCATCCCAACACTTTGGGAGGCCAAGACAGTAGGATCATTTGAAGCCAGATGTTCACGACCAGCCTGGGCAACAAAATTAGACCCTGTCTCTACAAAAGAATTTTTTTAATTTTCAAAAATTAAGAGGCTGGGTGCAGTGGCTCACACCTGTAATCCCAGCACTTTGGGAGGCTGAGGCAGGTGGAACACCTGAGGTCAGGAGTTCGAGACCAGCCTGGCCAACACGGTGAAACCCCATCTTTAATAAAAATACAAAATTTAGCCAGGGATGGTGGCACACGCCTGTAATCCCAACTACTCTGGAGGCTGATGCAGGA